ATTGCAAGCCTTTTAGAAATATTATCAGGAACAGAGGATAATAAATTGCATAGGGGAAAATTCCTTCTTGTCTCAATAACAAGCGATTTGAATGAAAGAGAGCAGCAAGCAACACATTTATCGAACTTTGCCATTGAAATGAACTTTTTTTTTGCTTTACTAAGAAAGTCTGTATTACTAAGCAAAAAGTGACTACAAGAAGCAAGACAGAAAATAAAACTAGACGAACTAGTGGGCAGAACTCGTCTTACTGCATCAGCAGAAAAGCAATAACTGACACCAATACGCTGCAAGAAATACCTAATAAATAGCTAAACATATATGAGCAACAACTCGACGTTGGATAACTTATGGAAGTTAATCGCCACAAAAACGTAGCAAGTGTCCATGAACTCTTCGACGAAGTGAAACCACATGCGACGCCAATGAGGATTGATGTAGAGAATTGCTGCAATTGCCAACACCACAACTGTGTAACATACCCCAAAGCTGACATAGAAAACATCCATGTCTATGCAACCATCATCTTCTTGTTCATCATTAGGCATTGGTTGTGATGGTGGTTGTTGTTCATTACAATTGTTTTGCAACGGAGGTCCACGCAAAAAAGGATTCCCTTCATAACTGCTTTCATCGAAAGTGCCAAATTGATATTTCCTCTCAGGAGTTTTGCCCGACAAGTTATTGTATGCCATACTGAAAACTTCAAGATAAGTTATTTCAGTAAGTTGCATAGGGATTTCACTGTTTAAGTTGTTGTAAGAAAGATCCAAGCTTTCTATCAGCTTCAAGTTTGAGAATGTTGCAGGAATAGATCCAGTGAGATTATTGTGCGACAAGTTTAATGTACGTATCTCACTTAAGTTTCCCATGTCCAATGGGATTTCACCAAAGAAATTATTGCTGGAGAGATCTATACCAGACATGAAGTTAAGAAAATTGCCTTGCAACTATAAGACAGCCTTTTAGTCTTGAATTCTACTGCTTCTTCAAAAGTGATTACTAGATAATTTTTTTCCAAGTTATAAATTCTCTCCACTGATGGTGAACCCATCAAGTAGGTATATACAAAACCAAATCCCGAGCCAACTAATGATATCTTGGAATTTGCCTTCAAAGTCAAATTGCTCAAACAAAAGGGCAGATGACCAGAGAGCTTATTTTGTGAAACATCCAAAATGCTTAAATATTCTAAGAAGCATAATTGACAGGAAACTCGCCATCAATACGATTAGCTTTCAAAAGGAGAACACTCAATGATGAAAGATTGCCCATCCAATTCGGAATGGATCCAATAAAGTTGTTATCTTCGAGATCCAACGTCACTAGGGAAGAGCTGTTATTAAATGCATACGTTAATGGACCGCTTAACCTATTATTGGACAGATGGACATGGCTGGTGCAGGATGGGTTGAAGCAAGATGGTATAGAACTAGACAAATTGTTCTCAGAGAGGTCCAAATATTCAAGCCAGACAAGCTTGCAGAAATCACTTGGAACGGGACCCTCAAAATGATTTTTGGACAAATCAACTGCCTCAAGAGACATTTTGACAATCCACGTCGGAAGCTTGATAGTGAGAGGAATTCAAGGGATATGAGATTGGTAAGGGGACCAAAGGCAATATTTCTAATAAATTGGTTTCCAGAGACATCTAATAGATTTAGAGATGACATTACCTCAAAAGCTAAACCAAACGGGGGTGAGACTGTTCATCCTACAGTCCCCTCTCTCTCCTCTTTTTCTTAACAACCCCACTGGGACCTAAGCTGCTAAACTGATTCTTCACAGTTCCATTGTTATAGCATCTTTCACAATCCTATTATTGTAGTTGTTTTAATTGTTTTTTCTCCAACTAGCATCTCTCTTTTTTTTTTTTTTTTTTTTTTAACGGATTGGGTTGTTGAGATTTAGTTTTTTCTTTCTTTTTTAATTTGTTAATAATTTTTTTTTCATATAAGACTTTTGAAATAAAATTTTAAAACATGATTGTTTTATTTTTTTAAGATATATTATTATAATTTATACGATTGATTATTTTTATAATTTTCATATGAAAATTGTGGTGTTGCTTATATATATTCTAAAGAGAGAGAAAGAGCTAAAAATGTGTTTTAAATAATTTGACTTCATTTACAAAAAAATAATTTGACTTGAATTTTTTTCAAAAAATTAATAATTATTTAAAAAAATTCACATTTTTATTTGGTTATATATAAATATATAATTAGAATTTATTTAAACTAATTTTATAGTAGTTTTATTTAAATCTATTCACTTCGACATATTCCATATAATTAAGTGGGTTATATATAGACACAAACACACACCAAGTAGGCACGACCCTACTCTTTTTTTCTTCCTATAATTTATTTTATATTTTTAAAAGTCCGGCCACCAATCTCATGATAGAAAAAAAATTGGGTAATTATTTTAAATCTTGATGTGTTTTGGGATTGGATCACCAAGAGGCAAAAGGAAACTCTTAAAAGAATATACATATTGTCATTACATAAGTGCTATACAAGTTAAGCAGTCATATATAATTGGTCACTTCATTGGGAAAGAAAACATATATATTATTGGTACTTTTAATGTCCTTGAACCAATATTAATTATATCTTTGATATTGATGTTAACACACATATCCGATTATTTTATTCTTATTGTTTAAATTTTATTTCTTTAATTATTTTTATCTTATTAAAATTCTCATTAAATTATTTTTTTAAATTTTTTGATATAATTTTATTTGTTAATAAATTTGATTTTTTAATATATGAATTTTGAAATAAAAGTTTAGAACGTTAATGTTTTATTTTTTAAAAATATATAATTATAATTTATATAATAAATTGTTTTTATATTTTTAAATGAGTGTTTTACATATATATATATATATATATATATATATATATAGAGAGAGAGAGAGAGAGAGAGAGAGAGAGCGAGCACACACACACACACACACGAGCTAAAAATATGTTTTAGATAATTTGGTTCAATTTTTTTAAAAAATAACATTGATTTCAAAAAATTCACAAGTTTTATTTGCTTATATATATATATATATATATATATATATATATATATATATTTATTTATTTATTCGAATTTATCGAACCAATTTTGCTTGTCATTTTTATTTTAATTCGTTGACTTTGATATATTTCTACAATTTAGGTGGTTTTTTTCTTTTAATTTTACCATTTAATCTATATACTTTGAATATATATATATATATATATATATATATATATATATATATATATATATATATATATATATATATATATATATATAGTTTTGTTAACAAGTAACTATATATATATTCGATTTATATTAATCATCAAAAATAAAACTTTTTACTCGCATTATAATATACGAATTATTAGCCCTATATATATAACGGTTGTCCGCTAACAACGATAACGCGGGTATCCAACTAGTGTTTCCTAAACAAGCTAGGAGCAAACCTCTTATATTATTTCCAGAAAGATATAGCTGCTCCAGATTCTTCAATTCACACAATCCTGTACATTTTATCTCAAATCATGTCAAAATCGCGATGAAAGCATCTTATATGTAGGCACACTGTGACTTTTAAATTTACCTTGTGTTGATAGAGTGCCATTGAGCTCACATTCATTGAAAGATAAAACCTTAAAAGTAGGCAATGCTCTGATATTCTGAAGAAAGTTTACTAGAAGAGAACTATAATCCACGAACAATTCTTCAAGGGTGGTTGAATTGAAGAAACTCTCTGTGAAAAAGATTTATGATTTCACATATGAGAACTTAACTGGAAAAAATAAGTCCTATTTCTTATCGAGTGCTAACTCCTATTTTTTATTGACTTTCCTAAAATTGAAAGCTAGTACAAGTAAATGAAAAATTAAAACACCTTTTGATCATAACAACATGAGGTTAGTTGAACGACTTTGAATGGATGAAAGGCTCATTTGAATACAAGTGAAGTTTTAAGACTAAATATTAACATTTGGTAACTTTCAACTAAGCTCGTGGGTTGATTTGGTTGTTTGCTAAGTTTTGAGAATTATAATAGAGTTGGGTGCTTTCTTTTCATGATCAGTGGAGCACTAACTTCAGTTTAATGACATGTTTTACCGATTATTGAAATTGAAAATAAGTGAAAAATTGAATCGGATTCATCGAGTTCACCAACGAAATTAAGTGCTAACTCCTGTTTCTTTTGACTTTGTTAAAGTTGAAAGCTAATATAAATAAATGAAAAATTAATAGACCTTTAATTACAAATAAAAATATAGAAGTTAATTGGACAAACCTGAATGGATGATGGATTCAATTGAATACAAATAAAGTTTTAAATCTAAACATTAATATTTGATAATTTTCAACTAAGCTCCAAAGTCGATCTGGTTGTATGCAAAGTTTCGAAGATTAAAATAGAATTAGATTTTTATTTTCATGATTAGTAGAGTATTAGCTTCGGTTTAATGAGATATTTTATCGATAAACTATTAGAGGTACGGCGAAATAAAGTTTGGATTATCAATTTGATCTATTTTTTTTCATTATTATATGTCATTCTGTTTGATTGAATTGTTTAAAAATAATAATCTAATTTTAATTGTTAACTGAAAAATATATTTTGACATTAATTTAATTTTTTCTTACACAGCATTATTTTAAAAAACAATATTAAAAAAAGACAAACAATGAACAATGCATAGTTCATAATAATTTTATATGGAAATTTTTCTTCTCAACAAAATCATATCAAGTTTTTCAGTTGAGATACATTTGATTTTAAGTTTTAACGATTTAATCAAAAGGACTTAACTTGATAAAAAAGTAACATTTTTAGGACACAATTGATCCAATTGATAGTACGAGTCCTATTTTGTTACAGCCCCAATAATTTAGAGATACAATGTGGCATTTAACGTACTTCTTCCCCACTGGTTGTTCGAATTCTTATATATTTATTCTTGGCTATTGAAGATTCTAGAAATCAAATGGGGTCGGAAATTAAAACCGGCCACGATTCTCGTTCGGGTAACTCGGAATTCCTTTCGCGTTAATCCCTTCTTCTTCTCTTAGGTTTATTAATATAAGTTTGAAGATGATAAATTTTTTCAGTGCATTAGGGTTTTGTTTAGGATAATTTCGGTGTATTTGCTGTTGATTTTTCTATTAGGGTTTTTTAATGATTATGAATGGCGTTGTACTGAATACTGATCCAATGGAACATGCAACCCTAAATGTACATTGTTGATATCTTCTGAGCCTTTGATTGATTTTGCTTATATATTTTTCTTTATGAAAGTGGATCCTGTTTGGAAATTCTAAGAATTAGGGAGTTTGCTTTTCTTTTTTGTAATTTTTTTCTTACTGTTGCACAAGATGAGTGAGGCAGCGTAAAAGGATGGACTCTGTCGGAGTGAAACGGGATATTGTGATGGCTTTTGTAAGATTGCTTGAAATTCTCGTATATTTTTGGTGGGGTTGCATATGAATAGAAAAGAGGGGGATTTATTAGCAATGTAGGGATGCTTGAGTTTATTTGCTTGATTGCTTGTGAAACATCATTGTTGATTCTAACCCGATTGATTCAATGGAATCTTATGTCATTTTTTGTGGTTTACAGCTTACAGGATGGGAAAGGATAGTAAAGCCGGTGGCAAAGCTAAGGATGAGGAAATCAATGATTCAAAAGGGAGAAACGTTGCTAGCAGATCATCAACTAGTTTGGGTACTGCGTCTGATACATCTGGTCTAAGAAGGTCAGCTAGAGAAACATCATCGAACAAAAACGTGACTCCAAGCCCTTCAAGTACGCGGAAGTCTGAACGTCTTGAGAAGCGAACCTCTACGACTCCTCCAGTTGCGAGGAAGTCTGAGAGATTAGTCGAGAAAAAAGTTTATCAGGTCCTTTGAGAAGGTCTGAGAGGAGTAAGAATCAATCCTCATCTAGTTCTTCTGGTTCGAAGAAGTCTGGTAAAAGCTCGGGCTCCTTAGCTATGAATAAAAAGCACAAGAAAGAGAAGAGTCTGACACAGCTTGAAGCTAAAGAAGTTGAAAACAGTGAGAAACATGCTATCACAGCTGTTCTGGATGAAGCAAAGAGAATGGATGCTCGTGCTTATAGGGCATTGTTCAAACGACAACCAAAGAAAGCTAATATGGAAGGTAGCAGAGTAATTTTTTTCATTCTATCTTAATTTCTGTCCATAAATTGTTTCGAATCTTTCTTCATGACTATTAATGTATTGCAAAATCTGCAGCATTGTAGGGCATCATGACCTGTGTGGGCTTTCTTGTATTCTATAGAACAAGTGTATCAAGTATTTTTCTTTAATCATTCTAATACTTTTCTGCTTGACTTGCTAGGTCGTTGTGAGGAGATTAAGAACAAGAACACTAATGGCAATGATCGCAGAGATGGTGCTTCTGAGAATGTTGATGGGGGTGGTGAATGCAGTCAAAGGCAGGTTGAAGAATTGATAGATAGATGGATTTTGAGAGATTCTGGGAAAAGTTTGGAAGGAAATTCCATGGTAAGTGAACATGTAAAAGAGACGTTGGAAAATAATGGTGGAACCAAATCTCCACATAAATGCCAGAAGCTCACATTCTTAGAGGAAGTCCATCAATTTAAAGAAGGGGATGGTAGGGAAGATCTCAGGAGTGATGACAGTCTGGTACTTTCATCTCATAGAACTTTATCTAAGCTGGCGAATAATGTTGCTGAAATGGAACAGAAAAATTTGCAGGCAGAGTTGGCCAATCTGACTGTAAATAGGACACCTGGGGCTGATATTGAGCTGGAGAGTGGTTGCAAGGTGGAGGTGGTAATAGGGTTGATGCCTTTTAAACGTAAAAGAATTATTGACAACTTGAATTCTGATGCTACAGCAATGTTTTCAAATAAAGATGCTGATGCAGCTTCACATGAGAGCGGCAGAACAGATTCTGTGGAGAAGTGTCCTACGGGCTCCAAAAGGAAAAGGTTTGCCTTGCAAGGATTCACATTTTTTATTGCTTGAGATGTTGGTTATTTTATTTAGTGTGATTCTTGTGATCTTGGAAAAGGTATAAGTAAATCATAACAACGCATGCACGAAGTTTATGACAGTAACTTGAAAAATTAAGTTGATCTTTATGTTGTCATTGTTGATTTTATCATTCATGTTGCTACAATCTTTCTCTGGTGGAGCATGTGGTCATGCTTTTTGCCATCACGTTATACCGTCTGGCATGCTCATTTGCTGGTCATCTGCTCATCTTCTTGTGCAACCTTTTAGAGATTACTGTTTAAAAATAAGGTTTATTGATTAGTTCAAACTTGAATTTTAATTGCTTTGGAATTCAAGAGTTTCTAGCTGATGTGAGCATTGATCTGAATTTTTTTTTTAATTTTTTTTGGACACAATTACTTGTGTTGTGATTGATTAGGAGCATGAACGTGGAAGCATTTCCTGTCCTTAAATAGCTTTGATCTTGTATTATTTTTGCATTTGGTGTTTTTAGTTTGATATTGCTGTCAACTTTAAACTATTATATATCCTTGCATTAGTAGTGTGGGATAAAGTGCTTTTTATGTTTCTTTGGGGTGTTATGCTCTAGTGCCTCCCAGGGAGCATCTGCTGAATTTGTGGAGATAGGAAAACTCTTTACTTTTGCAGCTTTTGGACGCAATTGTTTTTTTAAACATTGTGAATGTAGAAGGGTTAGATGGCACAAATACCAACAATTATGAAGATAGTGATTATGAAGACAATTATTATTATGATTTAATTATTTTATGGGTCTATTATTTTCCTATGCTCTTGCATCTGTTTTTATGGTACATGGTTGTAACTTTGACCTGTATGATACATGGACCTTGCATTCAATTAAAGCAATAACTTCCAGCACATGAGAGACAGCAAAGATGAACTTTGATATCCATATTTATTAGATATTTTCAGTTACTACGGCTAGAGCATTTTCAGATATAAAATGCTCTCATACGATTTTTGAAAGTGCTAATCTTAAGGTGGTGAGCTTTTTAGATGTCTGAAGTTCAAATTGCTGTCCTCTTAGCCTTTGTCTTTTTAGAAATCACGTCAATTATGAGAGGCTTAGTTGCTGAAATTTGAATTGCATGAAAAGATGGTTTCCAGAACGTATAGGCTGATGTTGATAATTGTAAGTGAACACAGGCATAATGTATGTAGTACCAATGCATCAGGGTTGCATACCTTTATGGTCCTCAATGAGGTTTTCCAACTTCAATACTGGTGTACAATGAAGGTGCTAGGCTCAGGATCAGAACCAATGTGACTGCAATTCATTAATCACTTGCAGTTCACCGTCTCGTGCTTTTATTGAATCCAGTCCATGTTGGTGGTCCCTGAGGTATTTAGGTTGAAATTCATATTTTTTGGTTTATTTTTATCCTTGGAGTCCTCCATTGGCAGACATTCATGTGAGTCAAAGCCAATGTTCTTTAGTGGTTGGTTGTAGGTAACAAGTAAACACTCAATGTTGGACCACCAAGCAAGATAAAGTCAGCTTAATAAGTTTGTTTATGTATTTTAGTTTGGGTTACTGTAGATATTTTGTTCAGGATTTTATCAATGATACTCTGTTGTTTCTTACATATTTCCTATTTTGGTCTCTTTTTGGTTTGGTTCTTGTGTAAGAGCATCCATATTTTGGTTGGAGAGCCTTTGTTTTGAATAGTGAGTTTGATATATCAAAATCAGAGATATTGCATTATTCTAGTGGACTTTAGGAGTCTTTTGTTCTTAAAGGTAAAAGAAGACCTATATTGGCTATCTTCATTGAGTTTTGCACCTTTAATGTTCTCTTCTCTCTTGCCTTATATCTCCCAAGGTGGCAGATGTGATTTTTTTTTTCCTTGATCAGTAGTTGAATTATAATGTGCGTGCACAGATTGTGAAAAAACTAAGGATTCAATTAAAATATATAATTTTTTGACCAATAGTTTCTTCTTTAATTTTTCTTATTTGTGTACTTTGCAGGGTCAACCACCACTTGATTCCGCAGGAGCATTGCTCCTGCAATCCAAAGTTAAACGATGATTCATGTGGTTCCACTTTAGCTAAGGTTGATTCTTTCCCTATCCTTATTCACTGCTTATGCTGCTATCATTTCTGTGTGTCATTTTTCAGCCTTTGAAGTTTCTCTAACTCCTTGATTGAACATTCATTGAAAAAAAAGGAAGAATTTTTTTTTCGGATCAATATTTCTTTCAGCCTCAGACTTAATTTCTCTTTGAGATGGAATGGTAATGAATGATATGGCTCTGCATTTTTAGATCACAATAAAACCTTAGCTGTTGAGGGCATCTTCCTTTCAAGTCTGTGCATTATCATGGCACTTCTACTTGCTTTATGTCTTCCTAGTCTGTTTGGGAAATATTTTGCAGAGGGTTGATTCTCTCTTATTGCTATGTGCCTGAAAGATGTTTTCTCCAGATGTCTCTTAGGTTCAAATGATAAGGACGGAGCCACCCTATTTTTAGCGTGTTGCTAAGTGACGTTTGTTGTAGAAAAGCAGGAAGAAACTAGGACTGGAGTGTGCTCAGCTAATGTTTCTACACATGTTAAACAGTAGTTTTTCAAAGCTTAATTTGTAGTCCTGGACTCTCAGTGTTTATAGACCATGAATCTAGTAGTCAAAATCACTTGACATTGCACCTTTTTTTAATTTTAATTGCTGTTACATCCATAAGATAAAATTGGCATAACATTCAGCAAAAAAAATGACAGTATTGTGTATTCAGTTAAATATGTGTTGTGCCTGCGATTGCATACCCTTATCATTTTGTTCAACACTAGGGGCAGAACTAGAATTAGAAAATGGGGGTGCCGAAAATGGGAAAAAAAGAAAAAAGAAGCTTCTAATAAGCAATAAAAACCTACAAGAGATAATGCATAACTTTTTTCGGGTGCAAAAATACATATTTCCTAAGAAATATGTTTTATTTTCAAGGTATAATAAAAAAATTTCTGAATTTTTGCTGAAATATAAAGTTCTGCAAAGTTTAGGGGTGCAGAGTGCATGTTTTCTGAGAAAGAAGCCTTAATTTTGAGGGTATAGTTAAAAACTTTCAAAATTTTAGGATTAAACTATAGACTTTTTTAAAGTTTTTTTTTTTTTTAATTTATATTTTGGGGGTGGGGGGTGTTAGTTGCCATGGCTCCCTGGCCTCTAAATGTAGTTCCACCCCTGTCTAACAGCTCATTTCTATGTTGGCAACCAATTCTGTGCTCAAGAATCATTGTCTGTTTACCTATTGAGGTCCACTATATTATGCCATGTTGAGATGATGCCATGACGAATAATTAAGCTGTGGCTTAATTATTTGACTGTTTTTTTCCATGATTTACTATCATCTTTTGTGAAGACCATTTGTATTCTCTCTCTCCGTCTCTGCCCCTACCCTCTTTGCGTGAGTTGAAACAGTATCCAACTTTGTCTCGAAGATCCTTTGATTTCTTATCGTATTTCTGTTGTTTCATTCATGCCATGGAAGTAGGCTGTGGCTTATTGTGTCATTGTTCCTGAAAACTTGTGAATAATAGTTTATTTTATCCCATGACTTAACATTTCCCCTATCAATATTGTAATCATTTTGATGTGCTGAATTAGGATAGAGGGGGAATTGAAGCCGATGTCACTGCAGGACTTGCAGAACAGTGTATCCCAGATTTACAACATAAAAAGTCTTCTCTAGATCCTCAGTTCGATGGCAACCCAAATACATGTCTCATCTGCAAGCTTGGTGGAAAGCTCTTGTACGTAACCTTCTTTTTATTATTGCAAATTTCATTTAGTAATAGGTGAGCTTGGGGAGTTAGCCACTGGTTTGGTTAAAGCTGCATGGATATAAGATGCCTAAATTAATGATGATGATAATAAAAAAATGTAGCCAACAAAAAGACTATTTGATGCAATCAACAGTAGTTGCTATTCCTAAGGATTCTATGTTATGAAGCTTGGGTTGGCCTTGTTTTCCTTATTTCTTCTATCAATATTCTAATATTTGCTGGAGTTTCAGCCACTAAGGAAGTGTTATTATATCCATACATTAGTCCAGACCCCTTTCTTCTTTGATTTAGATCCTTAGCTTCCTCAATTTTCTGCACCTTAGCCACCATAAAACACACTTGTGGAGGAATCTTTATAACCATTTATTCAGCAATGTAATCTTTCAACAAGTGGAATGCAATATTTTTACTGAATATTCTCAGTTATACTGAAGGATGATTTCTGAGAACCCTAGTGTGGTTCCAAAATCCTTACTGGTGTGTTGCTAGTTGTCTCTTATTTTATGTATTGGTTTGTCTCTTGATAGTTGGACCTCACATTGGAACCCTAGAATTCCTTCTTGTGCTATATCAATATTTGACTGGTCTCTGTTGCCTTTTGCTCAATCCAAACACCACAGACTGAACTTTTAAGGGATATTTAAGTCAAATAATTCCTAAGTATACAAAACAGCTGCAAACTCTCCCTTAACTTCTCTTTTTTAAGTTCATCTCTTTCTTTCCACCAGCTCTCTACTCTTTTTTATTGTGAACTGATGCAAACAAGTATTGACCATCTTTCAGTTTGTTCAATTGTATTTGTTACAGTACAAATTGCAGGAGAAGAATGAACACAAAGCGTAATACATGCACTTCAGTTTCATTTTAATTATTGGAAAATAAATTAAGCGGGTTATAGCTTTTCCTAGGAATGGTCAAACAACACACATTGAAAACACATTAGTATAAAACATAGACATGATGTTATGGCTAGCAGCGGATGAAACTCTATGGTAAGGAGTTGAAGGGCCCTAAAAGCATTGAACCGACTGATAAAAAACTTCAGAGTTTCATGCTTTCAAGTCTATTGTTTTGGTCTGTTGCTCCTTTTCTGATAATGTAGGACAATTTGGTTTAGCATTCTACAAAGGATTCTTGGTGAGCAAGGGTTGGAGAATTAGGGATTTTAGGTAGGAACTAGGGTTGGGATTTTTTGTCTCTGGAATAGGATGGAGTAAGGATGTTTTTAAGGGTTTGGGGGTTGTTCTGTAGCCCTCAATAGTAATTGAGGTTACTGTAGCAACAAAAAAGATAGAGGGAAAGTGAGAAGAAGGAAGAGCCCTTGGAGAAAAGAGACGAGGAAGAAAAAAACAAGGCCACACTGATTCATCTAAATCAAATACACATAATTCCATTTTTCGAAGACCCCTAGATTATATAGAATAGGTGCTCCTTTTATAGGCACCAAAAACATAGTAGTCTTTTACTAAATAGGAAATAGAAATCTTAGAAGGAAAAGTTATAAACTTAAATTAAAACTCCTAATTAAAATTCTTGATCTAAAATAAACTAAGATCCTGAAAAGTATTAATATGCCTAAGTAAAACAAATTTTTAAATGGTCTAGTGGAACACTAGAATATGCAGAATTAAAATAAAATAACCTAATTTAATAACTTCTTTCTCTTTGTAAGCATCATCTGAGACTTAATTTGTGAAGCTGTTAAATGGTAGAGTTTGATTAATGGCTAGGAGAAAGAGAAAGAAGCGAGATATGCAGAAGAAGAAGGTGTAAAAAGTTGATAAACATGCCGGTAAAAATTTAATAAATTGAGGGACGATGTATGTACTAGTAGAATTGGCACCATGCTTGCTTTGCCAAACAGTAGGCAGATTAGGGAATCACACACACACATACTCAAAAAAGCTGTCTGCCTGCCTTTTGATTTAAGTACTTCCATGAATTTTTTTTTAATTTTTTAAGCTTCAGTTTTCAATTTTTGTTAGACTTTAAAAAGTTGTTAATATTTTTTTCACCTGACAGATGTTTTTTTTTTGGGGGGGGTGGGGGGGGGGTATCAGAGATTTTCTCAGTTTTTTTAAAAGTCTGCAATTTGCACAGCAAAAAAAACTACCAAATTCATAGACTTTGTACCATACAAGGTACATACAAAATAAGTAATCTATGAAGTTGAAGATTTGGTAGAAAGTTTTGATGTAGGACGATTTTGGTTTTATGTCCTACAAAAAGATCTGTGGTGAGCAAGGTTCAAAGAATTAGGGATTTTAGGTGAGAATTAGGTTTATGATTTGATATATGTGGAATTGGGATTGTTGCTATAGCTGTGTATAGCAATCCATGGTATGGTACTTAGCGAAAAGAAGATCAGAAAGAACACACAAGGCTGCAGCCCTTAATTTAAAAGGGAACACTCATGGTTTCATTATTCAAAGTCCTACGATTACATAGTGCAATTGCTTTTTTTATAAGAGTCAAAACCGCAATGTTTTGAATGTTTCAGCTTTTCATAACAATTAAGCATTTTCACACCCTCCACTTAAATAATAATAATAATAATAATTGTTATAATTATAAATAAATAAATAATCATATTTTCTTCTTTGTGCTTCTAAGTTTCCTCATTTTGAAATTCATCGTAGTAGTTTTTTTTTTTGCCTGCCTTTTGATGAAATCCTGATTCTGCCCCTAAATTTAAGATTCTCAACTAGTATTAATATTCCTTGGACAAATTCTTAAACAGTCTAGATTTCCACTAAACACTTTAATATATAGAATTTAAAATCAAATTAATGTAATTCAGAAACTTCTTTCTCTTTGACATCACTGGTGTAGACTCCTATTATTATTTTTAGAACCCAAATAACAATGCAAAACTCTTCTTTATTTTGTATTTAACTTGCCCTTACAAGCTTCCAGTCCATTTGCAGTAACAGTTCCTGGAAGTCCTAAACAATTCATTTTTAGTGTACTATTGAATAGCTGCTCAAAATATTTTTATCTACTCACATTCATGTGAACTTATAATTCTATTTTACTATTAGGTTGCCTTGGGCTAGGTCAGATACCTCAATTGCTTATCAAACTTGAAGCCTCCTTTATTCGCTAACATAAGTTTGCATGTTGTTTTACTTTGAGGTTCAGTGTTTATAGGATGAATTTTGTTATATATATCTGGTTTCAGGTGTTGTGAGGGACAAGGTTGCAAAAGAAGCTACCATCTTTCTTGTCTAGATCCTCCTTTAGAGGATGTTCCCCTTGGAGTTTGGCACTGTCTTGCCTGTGTTAGGAAGAAGTTGGAGTCCGGTATACATTCAGTTTCGAAGGGAATAGAGTCAATTTGGGATTCCTGTGAAGTGGAGGTGGCAGATGACAATGGTATGTGAAATTTTATTATAAGATTTCAGTTTTGTTGTGAACCCTTGCATAAGTTTATAAATTCCCTGCAATTGTGGCACTCATTCTCCATTTCGAATTATTTTCTAAAGTTGCTGCTTTTGCTGAGATTTCTTTTTAGTAGCTCTGTGATGATTGTGTAGCCCATGGTATGAATTTCTTTGTGCGATGATATTTATGTTAGGAATGCAAAGGCGGATGCAATTTTATGTCAAATACAAAGGTCTTGCTCATGTTCATAATCGCTGGTTGCCAGAGAATCAATTGCTTCTTGAAGCTCCTTCGCTTCTAGCAAAATTCAACCAAAAAAACCAGGTTCTAGTATTATAATGTTGTGCTGGTATCCATGTTTCTATGTTGGGTCAATAATTTTATGATGAATGGACACAAAGTAACAATCATTTCCTTTCTGTCATGCATCAGTTTTCCTCTTACGAGAAGTTTAATGTTCAGGTCACAAAGTGGAAGCAAGAATGGACTGTGCCACATCGTATGTTACAAAAGCAATCATTAATGTCTCCCAACAATAATGAAGAGAATTGCAGGGGCCATTCTGGCAATATTCTAGCTTGCCATTTTGAGTGGCTTGTTAAATGGCGTGGCCTTGATTATAAGCATGCAACCTGGGAGTTGGAGACTGCTTCTTTCATGAATTCACCTGAAGCTCAGAGCCTCATGAGAGATTATGAAAATCGTCATGCGAAGGCTAAACGAGCAGAGTTTTTATCTAGAATAGATAAGGTGTGCATGGTTCAATACGAGAACTCATTTATTATCTTCTATGCACTCTTTACTTCAAACTCACGCTGTATTCATCCTTATAGATGCATATTTATTGGGGTAAAAGCTTGAATTCTAATTAGTTCACAAAAGAGATCAAAATGTGGCAATTGTAAAATTACAAATTTTGCGGTATCTGTCCCTTTAAAAGATTGTTACTAGTTGACCACTTTGCCTGCTAGTCTGTAAGTTCGTGCAAAACTGGTCTTGATATGAAATCCAAATACAAGTAGAATTTTTTCCTGCAACTTAAAGGCTACTGATGTTGGCTTACAAAGAATATGCCTAGTTTTATGTGGGAAAAAACCAAAAGAGATATCTTATTAATCTTGCTTATGGTGATTTAATGCACTTATGTGGATTCACTTGATGTGGTTATTTATTTATTTTTTTTCCTGACTGAGTTTTAGTTTTTGGAACGTGCTTTGTTAGTTTTCTTTTATGTTTATAAATCCTGGCCAGTTGGTTTGCGATTAATTACCTGTAGTAACTCAAGATGAAAAAGGGTTCATTGGTTAAATTGTTGCAGTTGTCAGCTGGAGGTTCACCTGAATTTGATAATAATCATCTGGACTTTGTCAACTATCTTCGTGAGTACTGGCACAAGGGAGAGAATGCTGTTCTTATTGATGATCAGGTGTGTGATCAGTTAACTTTTCAGTGAATCTAATACTTATTTTCTGTAAAAGACTAATGAATAGATGGTGGAACCTTGAGGGCGATGGGTGATCAAATGATGGTCTTTTAGTTAAAAATCAGGCTTGGGACATTTTGAAATGCAGTCTAATGACATTTCTGTCTCTGTTATGTATGTTCTTATATTAATGAATGTTACCATATTTCTTTGCCAGGGCTTTAAAAATTGTGTAGGTTAGAAGTTTCAGTTTTTATGATTTACACCTATCCCCAACCCCCTGGAAACATTCAATTTGTTAGGTTATTGTGGTTCGATACCCTACCATGTTAGTTGACAAAGAGATCCAGATGATCATTAGTTTTTTTGTGATTATCCGAAGTTGCATGTGAATGATTATGATGAGTTCATTGCAGGAACAAATCACAAAGGTGATTTCTTTTATTTTGTCATTGTCATCCAATACCCGTTGGCCTTTTCTCATCATCACAACTCCTGCTGCACTTCATTCATGGGAAGAAGAGTTATTTCGTTTAGCGCCATCTCTATATGCAGTGGTTTATCATGGAAACAAAGACATACGGAAAAGTATTAGGAAGTTGGAGTTTTACAATGAAGGAGGTTGCATTATGTTTCAAATACTTATAACATCACCAGAAGTTATTGTTGAGGTCAGCATGCAAGGTTATTTGGGAGATCAGTTCTCATGTTGATTTGATTGCTTATTAAGTTCTCCTTGCTTATTAACTGATGCATGTGGATTTGAATTTTCATATTGCATGCTGCTTATATAGTATGACATGCATGATGATTTTCATGGAATTTATTGTGATAGAAAAAGAAAAGATAAGAAAAGAAAGAGAGGACTATGCTACTGTACTTGCTAATTAAAAAAAAAAAAATTGCCATGTATGGAGACTCTTATTGGTTGATTTGCTGTGTCATTTATTATTGACTTCTTTATGGTTCTGCAGGATCTAAATGTGTTTGAATCAATGAAATGGGAAGCCGTGATAGTGGATGAGTGCCAACGCTCCAGAATACATTCACATTTTGAACAAATAAAGGTGCTAAGAACTGCTATGCGGCTTCTCCTTGTAAATGGTCAGGTTAAGGTGGGTGCATGTGTTCTTCATTTTGTTCCCTTTTATGCTTTATTCTTGGCTTCCACAGTCTTTTTATGGGTGCTTTATTCAATGTACTGGATTTGCAGGATGGTATCACCGAGCACCTGCTGTCACTGCTTGTTCATCAGAGTGATCTAAATGGTAGTGAAGGCTTGTTCACTAATTCAAGCCCTAAGGCTGGCAATTTGAAGGAACGGTTGTTGAAATACATTGCAAATGGTTGCAAACCGGACTCCTCTAAGCTTGAAGAATACTGGGTTCCTGTACAGTTATCCCCCATGCAACTTGAGCAGTATTGTGCTACTCTACTTTCAAATTCTTTGTCACTTTGCTCATCCTCAAAGAATGATCCTGTTGGTGCCCTTCGCGATATTCTTATCTCTTCTCGGAAGGTTGGGCTGATTCACCTTTAAATTAATTTACATAGTTGGGTATTTTTTGACTGGAAATTCTAAACCCCTTCATGTGGTTCCATAAGCTTTAGAAATTCTCATTTTATTTTTGTTTTCAGCTATTCATAATCTGTTATGATCAATTTTTTCTTTTGGAATTATCAGAAAACCATGATTTATTTGATCATAGTTTTGGGTAATTTTTGGATTGAAACTCTTGACAGTTTCTTCAACCATGGAGATATGTTACCTATTGATTTGATCAATGGGATTTTTGTATCTGTTACAATTTTGATTTATTTACCAATTGCTAATGAGATAGAAAGTAGATATTGTACTTGTGCTTTTCCAATAGCTAGTAATGCATGCATGGTGATTGTGGACAGTGTTGTGATCATCCCTACATCATGGATCCATCACTACAAATTTCATTAACGAAAGGCAGTAAAGAAGTTGACATTTTAGATTTTGGAATAAAAGCAAGTGGCAAGCTACAACTCCTGGATGAGATGCTTTCCAGCATAAAAGAGAAAGGATTAAGAGTGCTGATCCTTTTTCAGGTACATGGTTTACTGTCTACTTGATATCATTTTTGTTTTAAAAAATGTTCTTTTGCATGTGTTTTTGTTTGTTTGTTTTTTTTTTTTGCTTCAAAGTCTGAATTATGCACACTCGAAAGTATTCTTAGTTGCCATATGAGGATTGTATCGTAGTACTAGACAAAATTCTTACATTGACTTTCCTTTACGAAACCTTTAATTTCTGCATTATGTTCTACAATTTTCCAAGGAAAAGCAAGCTAATAATTTTGTTGATTTGCTCTATAGAAATTACTTGAACAACTGGTCTTTGGGAAAGGATAATCAATTATGGAATTAAAACACGATATTTTACATATCAGAATCAGATACAGGCAAACTTTTACTGTATCACAAGAGGGTTTTCAGCTATTTTTATTTTTCATTTCACTATACTACAACTGTGCTGACCTGTTACATAATGGTAACAGCAGTTATGCTTTAAAAAACCTAGGTTTTGGCCTATTTTTTCCTTTTGGTCATAACAACCTCTGTTAACCATTCTTCACATTGCCATATATTTTCAACAAGATGAAGCTTCTCAATCTTAAAATTTTGCTTCTGATATTCAGATCAACTATTTTTCTTTTCTTTTCTTTTTTTCTTTTTTTAAAGAAATATTGAATTAGGAAGGTTTTGTTGCGAGTTCTATGTTTTTGTTGTTGTATCCTGTTAGATTGGTGTATGTGTACTCCTGGTTTAAGAATTTAATATTAGTTTTTTGTGATAACCATTTTCATATTAATATTCTTGCCAATCCTTTTATTAGTCAAGGGTCATGTAATCGTAATCTAATTTGTTCAATTTTTTTATTTGTTTTTGGAATTAATTCATTGGAAACTTTATGATTAATATTATCAACTTTATGTTGAAGGAAGATTTTCTTCTTCTTCTTTACTCTCTTTGTTTTTAAGTATTATCAATAATTATCATAGATTCTCATTATTTTTAATGTAGCATGCTCATGCAAACTTGTCTAATGTGTCTAATGTGAAGTTTTCAATGGGATATTAGCCTTTTAGGTTGATTAGCAAAGATAATTAGTGGCAAATTGGCTGAATTATGTGTGGTTTTTGGAGTTCATATAGGCGTAGAGAGGAGTGTGATTTAGGTTACAATTAAAGCTAGAGGCGATCAAGTTTAGGTTTTGGATCCTGATGCATTAGTCTTGTTGGCCAGAGTATTGTATTTGCTTTTTGCTATACTTATAATAGAATTAGAGATTATGAGTACTGAGATGCCTACAGATGTTAGTGGATTCTTCCAAATAGAAAAGTTTATGAATGACTCTCTCTCTCGCACGCCCTCATTGCTTCAACTGCAGCAAAAGTTGACATACAAATCTATATATTGGAGAGAGAAGGAGGCATCTAGGTACTGGGGTGGATGGTTTGTGTTGGGAATTGTATTTGTTGATGCCTCTTCTGATGGGAGATTCTTAATATTGAATTAATTGTTATTAGAGTAACAAAATCCATTACAGGCCTATAGGACAATATCTTAATATACATTAACTATCCTAAAGGTTTGTTTTGCATTTTCAAATAGCAAATTAGTTTTTCCATCACCCCTTGGAAGATCAGAATAAGTTAGCCTGAGTTGGACATTATTGAGTCCTTGCAATATAAGGTAAACATTAAATTCCTCGACATAAAGAACCAGGATGCATATCTAATATGTACAGTGAGTCTCCTGTATAGACCATTTCTCACCGATTCCTATCTCAGAACTCCTGAGCATAGTTTAACAACAAAAGTCACCATATCATTCACACTCAATTCAATCATATGCATTTGTGAAGATGTTAATTCAATATGAAATAGTTGCTTGCATTTTGGATATTGAGAATGCTTTCTTAATCCTTGCTTATGCATTATGGCCTTTCAAATGATTCCATATGATTTGTCATCTTGATTACCTTTGTGAACAGACTGGATATTTGTTTTACCATTCCTCTGTCTCTCTTATCCATATGTTTGTTCTCGCCTTGTACATTTTTCATAGTCATATTATTCTGAGCATATTTTTCTTACCTTACACATTAGATTTGTTTTACAGTCTATTGGAGGTTCTGGAAAGGATAATATTGGTGATATTTTGGATGACTTCGTACGTCAAAGATTTGGTAAGGGTTCCTATGAACGTGTTGATGGACATGTACTCCGTTCAAGGAAGCAAACTGCTTTGAACAACTTCAATAATCATCAAGAAGGGACGTTTGTGTTCTTATTAGAAACCCGTGCTTGTAGTCCAAGCATCAAACTTTCATCTGTGGATACTGTTATCATATTTGCTAGTGATTGGAACCCAATGACTGATATAAGGAATCTGCAAAAAATAACACTACATTCACAGTTTGACCGGATAAATATATTCCGTCTATACTCTTCCTGTACTGTGGAAGAAAAAGTTCTAATCATTGCAAAGCAAGATAAGACACTCGATAGTAATTTACAGAGCATAAGCCGGGGTGCTAGTCACATGCTGCTGATGTGGGGGGCTTCATATCTCTTTGACAAATTGGCAGAGTTTCATTGTGGCAATAACCCTACCTCGAGTGGAAATACATTGTTTGAGCAATCACATTTGAAAGATGTTATCCAGGAGTTCTTAACCATAATAATTCAGAAGGGAAAAGACAATACTCCAAGTAACTCTATAATTTTGAAGGTTAAACAAAATCAAGGAAGTTACACTACTAATTTTCCATTGCATGGTGAGCAAAACATTCAATTGTTGGATGAAGAGCTGCCTCATATGTTTTGGAAAAAACTGCTTGAGGGAAAACAGCCACAGTGGAAATATAGTTCTGGTTCCTCTCAGAGGAACAGAAAAAGGGTTAAATATATTGATGACATACAGAAGAAATCTGAAGTTGAGGGTGATGACGTTGTGAAGAAGCGCAATAAAGTGGCCAACAATAGCGCTGATTCACCTTCTCTAAAAGCTGCTCCAATAGGTAAATGATTTTTTCTCTTCTGATTCGATGTTTTGGTTTGTTTCTTATCCTGTATGCACAGATGGTTTTCTTGTCAAGAGTCTTAGGTGGCAAATTTTGTGGGATTTCCTCAATTTTTTTAATTAACATTCACAAAGTGTCTATTTCTGCAGGAACTTCTGGAGCTCCAGTGCGTAATATGTCTCGATTCATGCCAAGTTCAACTGGCTGTCTTAACACAACTGATGCCAATCATGTTTCCAACATCACACATTTGAATAGTAATTTATCAGAAGTACTGAGAGCTAATATAGTTGAGTATAATGAAAGAATGAATTTGCATGATTCCGAGAAGAGTCTTCATCTCGTTTTGAAGCCAGAGATAGCTAAACTTTGTGAAATTTTACAACTCCCAGTACGTATCTCATCCCTCTGAAAAAGTTAATTTCTCTAGCACATGTTCATGAATGCTGCAGTAGGGTCTTTGATATGGTATATTGGGTCTGCCTTTCCACCGCTATTCTTAGTGGTTTCAGAATTGATTTGAAGTATAGAAATAAAGAAGAAAAAAATCCTGTAAACACTACTTTTGTGCATGCAAGATCCCTGGTATTGCCAAGGGATTGAATAAGCGTTTGAGGTCTTGATAAGATAAATATACAATGAATTCCTAAGCCTAGGCAGCATTGCATTGTTGGACACTGTTAAATTTCAATTTCATTGAATTCCCATTTGAAATTGAATATCATCACCATCAAATATTGCCTTTGAATTTTATTTTTTGTGTTAAGTTGTTGTTCTCTCCTCAATTGCATCACAAATTTATCCCTCCAACTTTGTTGAAGTTGGAAAATTTGTGTCATTTTATGTTTCTAAGCATTCTGATAGTGATGGTCTGCTATCTTTGCCCTGTCTCATCAAGTGTCCCCTTCGGGTTTTGAGAGGCAAATCTCATGGGCCACAGAGTAATATTGCTTCTTTTTTTTTTTTTTTTTTAGTTTTTTATTGCGCATTGTAATGCAAATAAATACTTGAGAAGAAATAAGGAAGGCTTAAAAAATAAAAGAAAACCTTCTCTGGCTTTAATTTGCATACCTTGCCAAGAATCAACTAATCAAATTCTATCTTTGCCCTACCAAAACCTGAGGGAAATAATATGTTTACTGCTTTTCATGGGTTCTTTTTTCTTTAACACTATGTTTACATTGTTTCTACTACTCTGGGATTATGAATTTGTTGGAAGTTTCTGGGTCATGGAAGGCTTTAAAAATAAAAGAAAACCTTCTCTGGCTTTAATTTGCATACCTTGCCAAGAGTCAACTAATCAAATTCTATCTTTGCCCTACCAAAACGTGAGGGAAATAATATGTTTACTGCTTTTCATGGGTTCTTTGTTCTTTAACATTATGTTTACATTGTTTCTACTACTCTGGGATTATGAATTTGTTGGAAGTTTCTGGGTCATGGATCAGCAAACATCAATATTTTCATAATTGATCTCAAGCTTATGCAGCAGTCTTTCATCTGTGATGTCATTATGTTGATATGTTTCACTATTGATTCAGGAAAATGTCAAGGTCATGGTGGAACGATTTCTGGAATATGTACTGAATAATCACCATATCAGTATAGAACCAGCAAGCATATTGCAGGCATTTCTGATATCCTTGGTTAGAACCTCTTTTTTCTATATTTCCTTGCTGTTTGATCTTTTATTTACTTGTGATGAAAATATTTCACCCTCAGATTGAAATATAATCAGTTTGTAACCACTATAAAACCGTGCATTACCATGGATCATGTTGGATCATGGTTGTTTTACATGCCTTTCTTGTAAAGGAGATTTTGCAAATGGAATTTGCAATAGCTTTATTATCTTCTTGGTTGGTTTTGAATCTGACAGATCTCTAAATGCATGGCATGATGCCTTTGCCCAACCATTCCTGTTTTTGCAATGTGACTCGTTGTCTTTAACAATTTATAACAATTGAGTTTCGAAAACTGACAAGCAGGTTGGAAGCTTCGTATCCTCTGTTGTGGTCACTTTTACACCTTAGATCTAAAACAGTAGTACATAGGAACTAAAAAGAGAATGGATTGACAGGGATACAAGATTTGCAGGGAAAAATATGACCTTTTATTCTCTTTGTGAATAAGTTGATTGTTGTAGCGTAGTGAAGGTTTATAGAGTGGGCTTTTCATGTGAATTGAGGTTGGAAATCATCCTTTCTGATTATAGAGTGGGAGTGGGCTGTTCATATTCTACAACCTCCTCTATTTAAACGTAAAATAAGTTGATTAGAAATGTGAAATTCTAAGTGCACTTGGAAGATATGGAGTCTTGTTTCTTAGGCCCAATCTATTTCTCCAGGAAAGAGATGAAAATAATTTTATGGGAAAATATGCTGCTGGTAAGTTACTGCCATTAGCAAACTAAAACAAGCTAATTCATTCTATTGGTAGGACTTTTTTTCATAGGAAGAAATTAACAGTGTCGATGAATGATTTTCTCTTTATTTTTCCTAATTGGATTTAAGAATTTTGGTGCTGGCATTCCTGAATCCAGAAATCTGTCACTTTTTCCATGTTTCTCCTCACGCTTCCCTTTCTGGTCCTTTTGCATTCATTTGTGTGTACATTTTTTACCTGAGCATTTCAATATCTATGAGAAGTACTGAGCATGTCTAGCTATTTTCCTTGCTTGTAAACTGTGCTGGTGGGTGCATGCATAAATGTTTGATATTTTTGCTAATGGCCTACTCTACTTTTTTTGTTCAAATTGTAGTGTTGGACTGCAGCTTCCATGTCAAAGCACAAACTTGATCACAAAAAATCGCTTGCACTTGCGAGACAGCATTTGAATTTTGGCTGCAGGAAAGACGAGGCAGATTTTGTTTGTTCAAAGTTGCAATGCCTGAAGAAAGTATTTCTTTATCGTACAGGGACTTTCAACGTGGCTGCCTCTCCAAAAGCTGCAGATTTTTCAAATGAAGATCTCAGTAAAAATCAGTCAAATGGAAGATCTTCATTGTCAACACCATCTAAAACGCAAAAGGTGAGAATAGAGGTTGAAAACCTGAGACCTAGTCAGGAATTCTCTGTTGATCAGGTGCTTTCCCATCTAGGATTGGCACAAAATGATTACTCAAAAAGCATCAAAGACATTGAAAAGAAATGTGACAAACAGAGGAGGAAGCTATTGCAGAGGCAACATGAAGAAAGGGAAGAGTTCGAAAAGAAGTATGAGGAAGAGAAGGCAGAGCTTGAACTTATGCATATAACAGAGGCAGCTGTTATTCGTCTACACAGTAATATTTCGGTCAGAACAGATAAACTTAAGATACTGGATAGTGAATATGCAAAAGCGTTTGTAGAACTTAAACGGCAGATGGATATACGCCTTAATAACCTTTTGGAATCGCAACTGGCTACCAGTAACAAACTGCAAGAGAGGAAGGCTCAATGGATTGAAGGAGTGAAGTCCTGGGCACATGCTGAATTAATAGATAAACAACCTGCAAATGAATTTGGATATAATCAAGAAAATGCTGTCACTTTGAATTCTTGTTCCAAAGAACAGATTCCTGAACGAGCCCAAAGCATGCTAGATGGAGATGTTCCACTGGAAGTTCGTGAAACTGTGAGTTCAAATGAGGATGTACCTCTTGGAGTAATGGTTGCATCCGAACCGATGTCTGATGGGGCTACATCAAGCATGCTTCACAGAGAGCTTCCGTTGGAAGCACCTCAGACTGCAAGTGGGAGGCATGTTTCAGAGGATGTTTTGTCTGTGAATTCATCTCCATGTGAAGAACAAACTTCTGCCAGATCAACTTCAGGCATGGATGTCAGAGAAGTTTTGTTGGAAGTGCCTGAAACTGCTCCTCTGGAAGCTGAGGAAGATGTTAACCGAATTGTGGAGAAAGATGGGGTATCTGGTATGGTATCTGATAATGCCATTGAAGTTGATCAGCGGAATGGAGTGGTGTGTATTCCTAATCAAGAGTCTCACTATGATGACATAACAGCAGTCAACCAGGAAAATGGAGAGGTTCTATTAGGAGTGGCTGGAAACAGTGGTGTCTACCAGCAGGATGAGGAGGATCCATCAGTAGTTCGTGAAACTTCTTGTGAAGTAGTAGGGAGTGGTAGTACTGGCAGAGACAACAGTGGAGTTCGTGTTCCTGCCTTGCATTATGATACTGGAGTTAATCAGCAGTCTGGAGTGCTTCCATCAGGAGGTTTTGAAACTGCTACTGGTGCAGAATTGGGGGCTGGCCACACTCGGCAAGAGATCGACAGAACACACACTGAAGCCTCAGATAATAGCCAACCAACTGAATCCTCTAGATTACGAGATAGTATTGCACAAGTTTGTGATAACCAGATTGCTTTTCAACAAGTTGATGCCTTGGCTACCGAACCTGTTGTTGTAGGTTCCGATCAATCTCCAAGTGATGCACCTGTCACAGAGCATACACTGCAATTGTTACCATCACCCAACTCCTCTGCTGGTTCACATCTTACAACTTCTTTTGCTCAAGATGTGCTTGCTGATCTGAATTTTGATGAATCAGGGACACTTGTCTCGAACTTGAGGACTGCACCTGTTACTTCTACAAATAGTAATCGTCTTATTACTGCACCTGCTGTTCATATGCCTGTTTCTATGTCTCAAGATCCACTAGAAAATGAATTGGATAGAATACGCAAAGAAACAGCCCAAATCATCAAGATCCATGAAGATACAGTTTGTTTCCTTTTGACCTAGTTGTATTGTGTGTTCAAAACACACCTTGAGTTTTGTCTTTTACATGAAAATTCCATTTCTTTTCTGTTTTGCAGAAGCTTCAGCTGAAATCTGATTGCGAGAAGGAGATACAAGAGGTTGTTGCTCAAATTCGTAGCAAGCATGATGTTAAACTTAAGGAGATAGAATCTGAATTCCTCTGTAAGAAGAAAGAGATGGATGACATTAAAAACAAAGTTCTCATGAACAAGATATTGGCCGAGGCATTCAGAGCCAAGTGCATGGATAGTAAGGCATCTAGCACCCCTTTCAGGCAGCAAGGTTAGTAACATTTCCTTATATTGAAAATTTAATTAGGAATCCATTTGAGTCTTGATTGGTTGGAACCTAAACTTGGTTCAAATGTCGGTGGCATGCAGAGATGACCTCCAGTATCGTGCAACAATTGCTTCAGCTGTCACAACCCACTGCACAGAGGCCTATTATTACTGACCCGTATTCAACTGGTCTACTTTCAGCTGGTCTGCAACCAACTCCCACATGTACCCCTCCTGCCCCACCACGACAGGTTGTTCATAGCTCAGAACTTTTCTCAGGCACACCAACCAGACCACCACATATCAGCTCAACTCTCACATCTACCTCTCCCGCCCCACCACGACAGGTTGTTCATAGCTCAGCACTTTTCTCAGGCACACCAACCAGACCACCGCATATCAGCTCCATCTCTCCCACCACCAGCAATCTCCGAGTCAGTAGTGAGATTCGAGCTCCTGCCCCACACCTGCAACGTTTCAGACCTTCATTATCTATATCTACTACCGGTCTTCCATCCTTTCCACGTGGGATGCAAAGTCAACAAGTATCTACAACTTCTCCCACACTTTCTGAGATTCCTTCACGAGCTCCAGCAACTGCGCATCAATCTGGTCCTCGGACTATGACAAATGGTCGGGAAAGCATGGGAATCTCACCTTCTAGAACATCTCTCCAGGGACTTGAATCATTGATGAATGTAGATAATCAAACAAATACAAATCCACCTCAGGCCTTCAGTTTTCCCCCACTAACAGATTTGAGTTCTAACCCCAACCCATTGCCTCAACCGGAGCTTAGTTTGCCGACAGACCCAGCAAGTGAGGTTGTTTGTTTGTCAGATGATGAGTGATATGTGGTTTATATACTTTATAACATTATCCTTTTCGTACTGTAGATCTTAATGTACAGTTTTGTTACTCGGAGCGCTACTTCCATGAGATCTCAGTGCTGCTAACCTTGTTGCTGCAGAAGTTGTGGCTGTACATAGTTGGTGCTTCAAGTAGGTCATGTCCAAGTTCCATTGTTACTTTTGAGTTTCTCGTGTAGTTTTAATTTATTCAGGTCTTTTTACTTTGAAAAAAGTGCTTGTAGTTTTATCATCTGTGTTCTGCCATGACTGGTTGTGCTTTTTGAATGTGTACGTTTATAAGGGTTTGAGCCCTACACATGGCTGCTTTGCTAGAAATGTTAATAAAAAATTACAACTTGTTTAGCTAAATAAGCTGCTGAAATGTTAATAAGCTGCGGCCATTAGCATTTATAAGCAAAAGTGAAATCATATTATCATTTCGAGAATTAGTCATCTGCATATTAGCATTTAATATTAGTTTTCAATTACTATCCTTGTCATATATCTGCATTTCAACTTTGCAATCCAGACTTTTTTGACAATCTGGAACCCTTTCCAAGGGATTCTTTGGTTATTGCATTCCAAGAGATAGATTGCCTCCCAACCGTCTCATAATATTTTTGTTTCAAAAATTTATGGGTCTTGATGCTTGTGACGTGCTGGTGTACGTTCGGTACTGAAGGTGTTATTCATAACCAAGGCTTGTTGTCGTGCTTCACATAATTGGGAAGCCATGGTTTATTGTATTGTTGGTTTTTAAATAATAAAAGTGTAGTTGGTTTCTAGCTAGGTTAAGCCTTCTTGCTAGAGAGTAAATTGAGGTTCCCTAAAAAAATTATATATCGAGCCCAGTTGCAACGGGTCCATTAAAACCCTCGCTCCGAACGTCTAGCCGTTGCTTTGCCAATTGCCTCTTCTACCACTAACCGTGACTAGAACCCTTCTCTTTGAACGTCTACGACGATTAGATTCCTAGAGGGGATGAAGCATAGAACGGCAACATATGCAGATAGTTCAATAGAATAAACTAGACTAGGTAATATATAAGAATTTATAGAGTTCTCAGCTTCACATATTCTTTCGAGAAATATGAACAATTCTTAGAGTTCAATAATGTATTGAACAATGTTACATGAAATCTGTTTTTATATTGTTCAGCAGGAGCAAAACTGACACAAATTATACACAACTTGGTTTTTCATTCTCCTTGCACACACATACCCGTTGCCTCAACCGGATCGAGCTTGGCATGCTAAATGGCTTGCAGCAAACCCAGAAAGTCCGTAGTGTATATCTTAATTTACAGTTTGTTTTTCCGAGCACTACTTTCATGAGATCTCTGCGTTGCTAATCTTTTTTGCTTTAGAATTTGTGGCAGTACATGGTTGAATGGTAAACCTCTTTTGCTGCAGAATTTGTGGCTGTACATAGCTGAATGCTTCACGTAGGTTATGTATAAGTTTAATTGTTACATTTAGTTTTATCATTTGTGGTCTGCCTTGGCTGGTTGTGCTTCTAAAATGTCAAGCAAAATGACTTTTCCTTGATTCGAAATTGGAATAGGCAGAAAGTAGAAAAAAGTAAAGGCGAGGATGAAAATTCTTCCGGATGATATGATAGTGGAACTTCTCTCCAGATTACCAGCTAAGTCTTTATACAGGTTTCGTTCTGTTTGCAAGTCATAGAGATCTGTCTTATGTCCTGACTTCATAAGATGTAGGGACAAAAACAACAATCATAAACTTTTTCTCATGTTTTTGATGATTATTACTCCACTTTGGATTGCTATGCTGCGACAAAAACATTTGAGTATCCATTCAAGGAATCAACATCAGGGGCTTCTCTTGCTATTACCAATCTATCATTATTTTCACAATGCAAGCAGCATGTCATTATAAAACCCTTTTTGTTTAAAAATATATGCAAATGTGATGCCGAGTGGAGACAGAGTTATCTTATCTATAGTGTCATAAGCTATCTGGTTTTGTATCGTTTAACTTGCTCATATATGTTCTGTTTCTTTAATGGACAAATTGCAGGCATGCTAAGAATTTCTTCCCATATTTTGTACAGAGTTTTTTCATAGTAACTTCATTAGGGAATGAAACAGACTGAAATATTTTTCGTTTTTCTATGGTTTTCCGTCATTGCAAAACAAAAACAAAAATACTGCACTGATAGCAGAGAAAATCGGAGCTAGACTAAATAATTTACTGTTTAGTGCATATTGTAGGAACTTGGTACCAATTGCGTTTATTTTTTGAAATGTTTCACTTACAATACATATATTATTCAAGCTATGCGTAGGTTTGCTTTTATAACCATTCTGACAAGTAAATTGTCCAACAAGTTCTGACCGAACCCAAATTTGAAGCAACAAAATTCCCACCAAGAACCACCCCACAACAAAGCATCTCACACTCTTATTTTCAGAGTCTATGACCTTCTGAAGTTTGACAGCTTATGAAAATTAACCACCACAAAAACGTAGCAAGTGTCTATGAACTCTTCAACGAAGTGAAACCACCTGCGGCGCCAATGAGGATTGATGTAGAGAACTGCTGCAATTGCCAACGCCATAATTGTATAACATACCCCAAAGCTCACATAGAAAACATCCATGTCTATGAAACCATCATCTTCTTGTTTGTCATTAGGCATTGGCTGTGATGGTGATTGTTCTTCACTACAGTTGTTTGGCAACGGAGGTCCACACAAAAAACGATTCTCTTCATAGCTGCTTTCATCAAAGGTCCCAAATTGATTTTTCCTCTCTGGAGTTTTGCCTGACAAGTTATTGTGTGCCACACTAAACACTGCTAGAGTGGTTATTTCAGTAAGTTGCTGAGGGATTCCACCGTTCAAGTTATTGTAAGAAAGATCCAAACTCTCTATCAGCTTCAAGTTTGAGAATGTTGCAGGGATAGATCCAGTGAGATTATTGTGCGACAAGTTTAATGCACGTATCTCACTTAAGTTTCCCATTTCTAATGGGATTTCACCTGAGAATCTGTTGCTGGAGAGATCAAAACCAGACAAGAAGCTCAATATATTGCCCTTGTAATCATACAACATTTTTTTAGTCGTAAATTCTATTGTTTCTTCCATAATCAAGGCTGTATACTCGTCTTCAGGTTCAATGACTGTCTTAACTGATGCTGGATCCGTTGTTTCAAGAGGCATATATCTTCCCGCTATGTGGCCAATATACACGCTACCGCCCCTTAACGTTTTTTCCAAGTTTGCCTTTAAAGTAAAGTTGCCCAAGCAGGAAGGTAGAGGGCCAGAGAGCATATTTTGTGAAACATCCAAAATACTTAAATGTTCCAACAAGCATAATTGAGCAGAAAACTGACCATCAAAATGATTTGCTTTCAGAATAATAACACCCAATGACGTAAGATTGCCAATCCAATTTGGAAAGGAGCCGGTGATGTTGTTATAACCCAGATCCAATGTCACCAAGGAAGAGCTGTTAAAAGATGCATATGTTAATGGACCGCTCAATCGATTATTGGACAAATGGACATGAATCATCATCGATGGGTTGAAGCAAGATGGTATAGAACCGGACAAATTGTTCTCAGAGAAGTCCAAATATTGAAGTCTGCCAAGATTGCAGAACCCTTCTGGAATTGGACCTTCAAAATGATTTTTGGACAAATCAATTGCTTCAAGATCTGATAAATTGCCCATCCACTTTGGAAGCATGCCTGAAAATTGATTGTTACCCAAATCCAATACAGAGAACTGTAAGAAAGTTGGGAAAAAATCTGATAGTCGGCCCAAAAAGTTGTTACCGCGTAAGGAGAGACCATTCATTGTAGAAGAGTTGAAAACTAATGGAGATAAATGCCCACCCAAATTGTTGTTTGACAGCATGATAAACTCTATTGCGTTCAACTGCTCTAGTTTTGTTGTAGACAATTGATTGTCTGATAAATCTAAATATCCCAGAGAGCTCAAATGTCCCAAACAAGAAGGAATATCACCTGTTAGTCCATTCTTAGCCATCCTTATGATTCTCAGATTTGGAAAGACCAGACACATATCTCTCGGAATTTGACCATGCATGTTGTTGTTTGATATATCTACTATGGCCATATTAGGATTAGGATGATTTTGCAATTGCAAAGGACCAACAAAAGAGTTCTCCCTCAGGTGTAGTTCTCGCAATCTTGTATTGTTCTTAAGCAACCACGAAGGGAACATTCCACTGAAGTTGTTGTGGGAGAGATCAAGGAATCTCAAGTCATATTGGTTATAAAAGAAGTTGGGAATTTCTGAATGAAGTGGTTTCCATGTACTATTTGACAAGCTGCAATATAATAGTTGGAATTTTGGAATCAAATTATGAAAGGCAGCTGGTTCAGCTATTAGTTTGTTGTTGCTGCATAAGAAGAACTTGAGGCTTGAGTGGTTCATAAAGGACTTAAAAGAAACTGGGACTTCAAATTGGGTATTTGATAGTGAGAGGAATTCAAGGGATACGAGGTTGGTAAGAGGACCAGAGGCAATATTCCCATTGAATTGGTTTCTAGAGACATCTAATAGTTTTAGAGATGACAAGTTTCCTAAACAAGGTGGGAGTGAACCATTTATATAATTATAAGAAAGATCTAGCTGCTCCAGATTCTTCAAGTTTCCTAAACAAGGTGGGAGTGAACCTCCTAAATTATTATCAGAAAGATCTAGCTTCACCAGATTCGTCAAGTTTCCTAAACAAGGTGGGAGTGAACCTCTTATATAATTATAAGAAAGATCTAGGTGCTCCAGATTCTTTAGTTCACACCAACCTGTATAATTTATCACAAAATATGTCAAAATAGTGATGAAAGCATCTTTTAATTATTGATGTAATTGTAGGCAGGGGGTTGTTAATTTACCTTGAGCAGGTAGGGTGCCATTGAGGTCACATTCACTCAATGTCAAAACTCTAAGTGCAGGCAATCCTCTGATATTCCGAAGAAAGTTTATTGACGGATGATTACCATCAAGGA